CAGGAGGCGGAGGTTTCAATGAGCCGAGATCGTGCCACTGCACTCCAGCCTGGGCAAGAGAGAGAGAGACCTTGTCTCAAAAAACAAAACAAAAAAAGTCAAAGTCATAATAAGCAAATTATTGGCTTCTTTCTTCTAGACTAAAAGAAATTAAAGAGTTGAAACAATTGCAAGGGCTGAAACTAGATTGGATCTTGGTTTGAATTTTAAAAGAGCATAAAATATTCTTGCAATAATTGTAAAAATTTGAATGCGGACTCAGTCCTAGATTGTATTAAAATATTTTTAATTTTTTAAGCTTGACAAACGCACTGATTGTTATACTTTAAATAACCAAAAATCTGAGAATCCACAGTGCTACAGAAAATAAGTGATAAAATGGGAAAAAATAGTGAAGAACTTCTTTTAGGAAAACTACCAATAAATGTAGAATGGATGATTCAAAAAAAAAAAAAAAAAGATAAAAGAAAGAAAAGGAAAAATCTAAAAGAAAGAAATGAATTTGACACCTACTGGTTGGATGACAGACCACACAGAGGGATAGTGACCAGGCTTTGCTTGTGGAGCGGGCATCCCTGCCCGGCTTTCTCCTTTATGTGCACGGACAGTATGAGTAGCATTTTGCATGTGAGTAAACATATCTGCGCAGCCCTGACTGAGGTCGCTAGGCTGGCCAGAGGCAGGACAGGCAGTTTTCCCCACCAACCCCTTTTCACATGCTCCAAAGATGTAGTCGTGGCTGCTATTTTGGATCCAAAATCACCTCGAGTGGAGGAAGTGACTTCACTGGGTCTCTGGAGGCTCTCAGAGCTTGAGTGGCTCTGCTCCACCCTGAATCATGCACCCATAAATGCAGTTATGGGTGGATGTGGGTGTATGAGAGTGGAGATTGTTTTTGTCCTTTCCCTTTGTTTTCATTTTCCAAATATAATCGTTAATAAATTTGATTTAGTTTCTTGGGAAATTTGTTTTCTACACTATTCAAAGATATTTTAAATAATATTTTCAAAACATGAAATATATTTTTTCATTTTTGATTTAGTATCATTAATCATATATCAGGATTTATGTAAGAGACTAAAAATGATCCATAGTGGTTAGTACTGTACTTTCTGTTTATTACATGAAATTACATTCCATTTGTCCAAATACATGTTTATATAATATTTCCACTGTGTGACTCTAGTGATCTTTAAGTGATCTACAGTGATCTTTAAGATACGTAGAAATATGAAAAATGTTTGAATATGATCTTTAGGGACTTCTAGTGAAAAGGGTATATGAAATGGGAAAAATAAATTCTGTACATGTATACAGTTCATATACACATTGCTTTTCATTTGGACAAATTGAAAATCTTTTAATAAAGCCATTTGCTTCTTTGTTAAAATGCCAATTGGTTGTTGGGTTTCCCTTTGTGGCAATCATTCCAGAGTTGGCAGGCCAGCTTTGAATTTTTAGGTTAGATTTTGTTCTTCTATAATATCCATGTATATTTTATGTTGTCCAATAAAATGCACTAGTTTGATATGCTTTTTACATAAGGCTTTAAAATATTTAATACTAACTCTTCTATCAAATACACTTGAGTGATAGTGATATTTGCTACTGTGGTGATTATTCTGGTCACTGTCTGTGACATGTAAATAGATGCATAAAAATATCTCAATTAGGGAAAACAATTTAAGCTTGATCCATCTGAAATTTCCAGTTTTACCTTACGGTCTATTTTACAGATGAACAGCAATTGATTCAAGGCTCAGAGGTGGCAGTCTGGAGCTGTTAAAGAAGTCTACTTTACTGATATTGTGATAATACTTACGACTCAGAATTGGAGTCTCATTTTCACTGGGGAAGCATTTCATGGCTATGCAGCCTTTGGCTTGGAAATTCTCACCCAGTTGATGCAGTAGTGATTTTATCCACATTATTGGACATATGCAGTAGTGATTTTATCCACTTCACTTCGCTTCTCATTAGCAAGTGGGGTCTGTATGCTTCTCTTTCCGCTATGTGCTTCCATACCGTATTCCTCTGCCTTTGTATAAAAACATGGTTCATTTGAGGCTCCTGCTAGCTGACAGACAGATAACTTTCTTCTAGACCTCTTTGGGGTTACCTACTAAAAACCTATCTATTCTCCCTGCTTAAGACTTTTGCAAGTGGTTCATAAGTGTCTTCACTACTCCCACTGGGTGCTGCCTTCATCTTGGGTAGCTTTAATGCCTGTAAGGCCAACTCATGCAGCATCATATCTTTTCATTTTATTTTTTTTGAGACCGAGTCTCAGTCTGTCACCAGACTGGAGTGCAGTGGCGTGACCTCGGCTCACTGCAACCTCCTCCTCCTGGGTTCAATTGATTCTCCTGCCTCAGCCTCCGCAGCAGCTGGGACTGTAGGCACGTGCCACCATGCCTGGCTAATTTTTGTATTTTTAGTAGAGATGGAGTTTCGCCATGTTGGCCAGGATGGTCTTGATCTCTTGACTTTGTGATTCACCTGCCTTGGCCTCCCAAAGTGCTGGAATTACAGATATGAGCCACCATACCCGGCCTATGTCTTTAGTTCCTTGACCTTCTCAGTGCTTATACTTTTATCTCCTTTTGTTTCAGTCACTCACATCCTAGATTGCAGCTTATAGTAATCCAATTTAGATTACCTTAAACTGAAAGGAGAATTTTGGGGGCTTGCTTGAAAGATTCAGGGATAGACTAACTTCAGCTTGGTTAGATCCAGGGATTCAGAATTGGTGTCTGGATTCTTTCTGCTTCTATCCATCTCTCATGTTGATTTGATTTTGCTTGTCTTTGCATGTTGGACTTTTTCCTTCCGCATATAGGTTCCTCTATGCTACCAGAAGAGATAATCACAAGCAGTTGCATGATTTTTACAACTGATGTGGTCACGTGGCTCACGCCTGTAATCTCAGCACTTTGGAAGGCTGAGAAGGGTGGAATGCTTGAGCTCAGGAGTTCGAGACCATTCTGGGCAAAAATCAGAACAAAACAAACAAACAAACAAAACTGAAAAAACCCCTCACGAGCAGAGAAAAAGAGATACCCCTTGTCTCCAAGTGTCCATGCAAAAAATATTAGTGGAGAGCCTGATCATCTCTTCCAGGTCATATACCTATCCTTGAACCAATCACTGTAGCCAGGTGGATGAACTCACTCACCAGCCTGCATCCCATGCCAACCACTGTTAGTGAGGTTGGGGTCGGGTGACGCTCTAGGATTACCTGTTCAACCAGGACCACATGTAATGACAGAGGGAAAGTTCCCCAAAGGAAGGGCAGCTGGTCAGACACACACACGCACACACACACACACACACACTTCTGTGACACGTGGCCTGTCAGGACTGTCTAATACCTAGAACTTATGCACCTCTGAAATCGTAATTAAAAAGCTCCACAACGTCTTATCATCCCAAACCTTTATCTCTTACTCCCAAATAGCTGTGCTTTGAGCCTTTGAGCCATTGCGTTTCCCTGGTCCTCCTATTTTCTCCCTCCCAGTCTTGCCCATCCTCATTCCATCTGGAGCCAGCCTAGATATTAAGGTTCATTTCTTCAATCATTCTCTTCCTAACACCTTTAACTCCCTGTTCCCTTGCCCTTCTGTCCTCGACTTTGAATTACTTCCAACTGCCAATGTTCCTGTTGCTTTTCCTGCCCCACTGAATGAAGCTGGAGAAAAATCACATGAAATCACAGCTAAGTGGCATCCCAAATTTCATGGTTTTTGATCTCATCTCCTGTCGTAACTGGTAAAGCTGCACTGTTTTCCCTGTTACATGTCTCTGTCATTTTCCAAAATGATTTTTGCAAATATGCCTTTTTCCTTTGAGGCTCTTATCCTATGTCTTCCCTCTTCACCCTCAGCAGACAATCTCATCTCCTATTTCACCCAGCAAATAGAAGCCATTATAGGAAACATCTTCAATATCACATCCTAATACAGCCTTACATGTGTCCACACCCCCCTTACCTCCTTGCCTCTCCCTGTCTCAGCTATTTTCTCTACCTGGGCACTTGCATCGTCAGCAACTTAGCCCCATCAATTGTTTTCCTCTCTTTCCAGTGTTGTCAACCTCACGTTCACAAATGACTTATTTCCATCAGCATTTAAATATGTTCAAATCTCTCTCATCTTAAAGACATCCCTCTCTCTACTCCACAGCAACTTCTTCTCCGAGCCCTACCTCCATCTTCTTCTCCCCAGTTGAGCCCCTTGGAAGTGTCCTGTATATGCTGTCTTTCTGGTCTCACCTTTTACTCATGCCATCATCCGTTTAACCTGGCTTTTGTCTTCGTTCCTCCAGTGTTCTCATTTTTGTGAGCAAATCTGTGTTACTTTTAAAGTGCTTATCTTCAAAGACATGGTATCAACCCAAATGCCCATCAGTGAAAAACTGGATAAATAAAGAAAATGTGGTACATATACACCATGGAATACTATGCAGCCATAAAAAGGAGTGAGATCATGTCCTTTGCAGGGACACGGGTGGAGCTGGAAGCTGTCATCCTCAGCAAACTAACACAGAAACAGAAAACTAAACACTCATGTTGTCACTTATAAATGGAAGCTGAGTGATAACACAAGAGACTCAGTTTGAAGGCACAAGAGGGTTTTCTTTGATATCCTAAGGCTGGGGTAGGTAACCCAACTGGGGGTTTCCATGGCATCTTGTGTGTAGCTAGACCAACATTTATTTACAACAACTTCTCATAGTAGCATCTCGTTTGTGGACAAAGAAACCTTGAGACTTGGAGAAATGAAGGTTACAGCTACCTAAGCTAAAATAGAAATCTACACTGTGTTACTTCAACGTTCACATGATTCACACCGAGCCATGCTGCCTCCCGTAGGCTTGTTCATCATATGTCTAGTGCTTGGCCCATAGTTGGTGAGCATTTGGTGAATGTCTGACTGAATCAATCAGTTGATGGAATGGGGTTTGAATTGGTGGATTGGATCCTCCTCTCTTTATGGACCAGAACTTTTAACCATTATCTGTATAGAGATTTGAATGGATTCTCGATGCATAATTTATGTATTATAAAGGGGGCAGGTGACTAATGATAATAGCTTACAGATGTATTATAACTCTTACTACAATGTTTTCACATACATTATTTTTTTGATCTCCACAATGATTCTGATAGGGCAGGCATGGTTACTCCTATGAAATAAAGAAAGAAAAAGAGAGAGAGAGAGAGAAAGAGAGAGAGAGAGAGAATGAATTAGCTGAACTGAGAATAGGCTCCAGGTTTCCTAATTCCTGGTCCCATGAACTTTCCATTTCACAAAGCTATTTTCCCTGCAATCCCTTGGTTAATCTTGTGGTTAATTCTTGACCTAGCAGAAAGTAGGGAAGAGGTAGTATAAAAAAATGCCACTACTCAAGTGGTAATGACCAATAAATATAAACGAAGAGATT